TATTTTATCAAAATATCAAAATAATTTGTGCCTATTTTGAAATCTTTATAAGCGGTTGTTTGGCATCCTCGTTTAAGAGTTTAAGGCTCAAAATACTGAAAATAATAAAACTCATCACATAAAAATTTACTTAACGTAATATAATATGTGCCTATAGTTTAATGTGAAGTTTTTATGGTAATTTGATACTTTTTTAAACGATATGATCCTGTATATGTAGGTACTTTAAATTTAATACTTCATACTTCTAATTTTGTTGCCTTTATTATCTTCACACGAATTGGTTTTTTTTCTTATTATTAAATATTTTATTGTTTAGATTAGCTGATGAAAAGTTAAAGATTTTTGGTCCATTTATTACACTTTATATTCCGCTAGTATCCTAGCTGATCCAAATATCGATTAATTAAAACCAATTAGAAATCTTAACAGTCATGATTGACGACGGTCTCCTCGCATATTATAGGTGTAATGATAAATGTTTTTTTTCTGAAAGATAAGATTTGTTTATCGAAACGTATATGTATATTATAGTTTCATATGCTCATAATTTAATAATTCATAAAAATATTGTAAAATAGTTAAAAATATATATTTTTTAAATCACACGCTTTCAAATGGTCCAAATTCTAGTATGACACTATACGATATACGTTATATATAATTCATGTATTATAGGTAACTTGAGTATACTTGGCAAAAGTTTAAAAAAATACTTTATTCCGCTCACCTCCACGTCAAGTTGACGTGATGCCATTTTTGACCTTGCAGGGTGTAGCGTTTGGTCCGCTGATTGCCCGCAGGCTGTGGAATATCGGAAACGCCACATCTCGGTTTTTTCATCAACTGTTTAGTGGCCTCATCCAATTGGCCGGTGATAGGAATATTTCCATACGACTAAAAAAATATCGAAAATATTTCACGAAAATATAGAATAGTATGTTATGTTATCATTGTCATAAGTTATAACTTATAAAGAATAATATTATTTAAGGTTTCGTAAGTGCATAAGACTAAATGTAAAATGTACAAATTATATAGGTATATGTGTAAACTAAGTGAAAATTATAATGTATACATTTTTATAACGTCAATATAAAGCAATAGGTATACACATTTTTTTTCACATAGCGTATGCACTATACATACCTTTAATACAATAATATATGTTTATATTTAATAATATGTTATTAGTTTTTTGAAAATATATTTACAASATGATTCACCAAGTATGTCCATTGTCCATCCTCATTTTTTTCAATAATCTGATTTTGGAATTTTTTTTTTTAGTTTATTAATATAATAGTTTTAATACATTAATTATTTTTACAATACTTTTACAATGTAGTATGGAATTTATAGAATTTTAGATAAACTAAACTAACCAAATGACCACATATTTTCGAATTTTTGAATTTAGGCTTAACATGTTTGGTGATGGTAACCACCAAGTGTGTAATGTGTGTTTAGTATGATTTTTGTATTTATCAAATTGTGTGTGCGTATATACTGTTTATGAAGTACCTGCAATGTTCGCAGAGCATCGTGTAGTTGACTTCCGTCCCTCAAGTTGCCCGTTTCTAGATCGGATTCTGGCAAGTAACCAAACTTCATCAAATACCCTAGCTGTGAAAAAAAAATATCATTTATAATAATCTAGTAACATATCTACGTATACAGTACGAACAAATCTTATTTTTATACAATAATAATATATTAATTGATAATACGATTTATGCAAATATTATATATTGGTATTGTTGAATTAATATGATGTTACGATATAAAATGGTAGAATAAGAAACTAAAATAGCACGAAAASAAAAATATATGATTACTAAGAAGATTATATTAAAATACTAAATATAAGTGTAAGATCTTAACTTAACGTAAAAATATAATATTGCGTTTCAAAATCATCGTGTTCGTGTTGGTAAACGTTAAACATCGTTCCTATTGATGAACTTAGTCATGTGGATACACTTATACACTCCACATTCAAAACAAATAAACAATGTGATAAAATATTACTAAATAAACAAAAATTATTTTTAAATCTCACAACAAAGACACACACATTGCACGGATGTTATTTAATTCGGAGATTTCACATACATATTTAACTTAAGAAAACACTACACACGCGTTTGTGGTCTCCGTCTTACAAACGCATCAAAAATTGCAAATTTCCGTTCACTAGTTTCCATACCGTGCTATTAGGTTTTATATTAGAGAGAATTGACCAAATAATATCAACATTTTAGGAAAGAACATTATTTGTGTTTAAGCGTCGGTGATTTTTTTATATTTTCATTTTTCATGCAAAGATAGGAGTATGGAGGTATCACAGTTAATAACTTGTTAAAATATTTCTCTTGAACATAGGCACAAATAGTGTTTGAGATTAGGGGGTGAGCTGAAGCTCAGGTTTATATTGGACACTTTATTGATATATATATATA